CTATCTCAAGTAAATCCATTTTGAAAAGGTTTCCCACAACGGTGACTTCGAAGGGGTTTGGAGACTACTTCAACATTACACAGTGTATTTTGACTGGATACTAGTTACTAGTGTCCAGTGGTAAGGTCTCTGACTGCAGTACTCACTGGGTGACGCGGGTTCGAATCTCAGAAGGGACATGAGTTCCTTCAAGGTTGCAGATACTCCTTGCTGACTGGTGAGTGCCAACTGGCACGAAACCTAGGTCTAAGCAAGGTTTTCTACCGATTGCCTCCAACTATCTAATGTCATCAGACTTCAGAGTGTCTCAAATCAACCTCATTCAGAAGCTATATAACAGATAGTGCTACGTGTCATATGGTCCACAACGGAAAACTCAGCGAAATCTTTAAAGTGAAGACTAGAGTAAGATAGTACTGGCTACTGTCACTGATGACATTCGTGACAGTGTTAGACTGGATCATAAAACAGATAGTGGCCAGCGACAAGATAGGAATACGTTGGATTGATAGGAGTACTCTATAAGATCTATACTTGACGAACGAATTTTCTATGATGTCAAAATAATTCGGAGTCCTACAGACGAAAACCAACAAGTTCATTGAAAATATAGTCAGTGAAGACAGTTCTTCAAGTGAACATAGAGAAGATGAAGGTGACATAGAAAACCAACCAGCCGGTCACTTCCTTCACTTATCTAGGAAGCACCGTCTCAACTACAGACAGACGGCAGGGATGAAGATTTCCAAACCAGTAATGGAAAGGTAAGGCAAGTAAGATCCGGATTTCCAACTCCAATGTGAAGTCAGTGCTACTCGCTATACGGATCAGAGACTTGGCCAGCGCGTCATAAAGAGCATCTCAAACAAACTATAGACCTTCATTAACAGTTGTGTTCGCTCAATACTCAAGATCAGATGGCCGGCTAGAAAAGATCAGCGACAGGGATCTCTGGGAGCGGACCAACCAGGAACCGGTTGTGAAACAAATATGCAGGAGGAAATGGAGATGGATTGGCCATACTCTTAGGAAACCATCAAGTGACACCACTAGACAAGCCATTGCTCGAGTGGAACCCATCGAAAGGGAAGCGGCGAGTTGGTCGTCAGTGCAAGGGTGATTTGGAGGAGGTCATGTGAAGAGGAGGTGAAAACGTGTGGACAGACTTGGAGCCAGGTGAAGACTCTAGCAGAGAACAGAATGCAATGGAGACGCACTGCTGAAGCCCTATGTTCCTCTAGGAATTAAAGGAAACAATAATAATATAATAATAAGGAAGACTTCACCCAGAAATTACTCCAGAAGATTTAGGCACTCAGCAAGAAGAACAGATGTCGGATATTTAATAGCAAATTTCAGTCACTCATTCATTGCATATAGGTAGGAAGGTTGGCATTTTTGTCACAAAAAGCGTTTCCAACAACTTGTGACAGACTTTTATCAACAGATGTCTTCGTTGGCTGGACGCTGAAGATCAAATGGCCAGCTAGAGGCAAGTATCCACAAAGAACTCTACCAGATAGTGAATTAATCAATAAATTATCACTCAACAGATGTGCCGAAGTAAATGAAGGTTGATTAGACACAGGCAGGGAGACCTCTGAGTCACATGAGACGTCAGGCAGGCAGGCCGTAGACTTGAATTCGAATAATAAGCGACGAGTTGCGTATGGCACCAATGGTGATATGAAGAAGATAAAAGCTTATAGACAGCTATGGAAACATTTGAGAATAATACTAGAGAACAGAGTAGAATGAAGATGTTACTCTGAAGGAGTATCACTATGTGTTATACTTGGGATGCTTGTCTCTTGCCGTTTATTTACTCGCCTAAAATCCTTCCTTCACTTACCTACCTTCTATATTCTCTTATATGAACGCCATTCACAAAAAACCAAAGGATTAACAGTATATAAATAGACAAATACAAACTAAAGAGGTAAAATTAATTAATTATTTTGCTCAATAACTCTAGATCAAAGAGACAGAGAGACGGTGGCATGGGAGGGTGTTGGAACGCGTAGAAAGTTCCCTCCCCCCTTATGTACTTGTGAACGATATTTTGCTCCAAGTGTACAGTAGGCAATTAAGGTCAAGGTTAAGAGGCATATGCTGTAAACACGCAGAGTACATTCATTAAAAAGGCGTAGAGAGAAGAAATAAGCAGGTCATTATGTATATATGAGATCAAAAGTAATTAATTTCTTTGTGTTAGGGACACGGTATGCGTGTGTTTGATTTTCCCCTTCTATCTCACTCTTTATTCAAGTTCAAGTGAGTAATATAATATTTCTTTTGAAATTTTTAGAGGTTGATAGACTCACGAAATGAGACAACAGGCTTTTAGTTAGTTAGTTAGTTAGTTAGTTAGTTAGTTAGTTAGTTAGTTAGTTAGTTAGTTAGTTAGTTAGTTAGTTAGTTAGTTAGTTAGTTAGTTAGTTAGTTAGTTAGTTAGTTAGTTAGTTAGTTAGTTAGTTAGTTAGTTAGTTAGTTAGTTAGTTAGTTAGTTAGTTAGTTAGTTAGTTAGTTAGTTAGTTAGTTAGTTAGTTAGTTAGTTAGTTAGTTAGTTAGTTAGTTAGTTAGTTAGTTAGTTAGTTAGTTAGTTAGTTAGTTAGTTAGTTAGTTAGTTCCTTAGGCAGTTGGTCCATACGAGGGAAATGGGATGAAATATCATTTAGGAAGAGAACCGTTAAAAATAACCGGAGAGTACTGGACAGCCAGCTGTTTCGTCCTGGTCTGGGACTCATCATCAGTGTGCACCTACTACAGGGGTTTGAACTCACAGCCTTCCGGTTGCAAGTCTAGGTCAGTGGCCAACACATGAATTCTAGCTTTTACTGTTTCGCAGTTTTTTAGTGCTCACTCTCAACAACTTAATGGACCTCACTAGTCATAATATCTCACTAGAAGTTCAGGGAACTTCACCCTTTATCCAGTCAGATCAATTTTCAACAGTTTCATTGTAGGGATTCGATTTTTTTAACGTTTGATCACGGATTGATATCAGTTAGAGAAGTACTAAAATTCAGAGAGTGCTCAGCACAGATATTTCGTTCTATTTTCGGACTCATCGGAAGTAAGCACTCATCATTTAAGTTTTCAAGAGTGGGTTGCACCCGGTTGGGAGTGAGGAGCAATACTCGCCACGCGTGACACTGGCTGGTGCCAGTCGTGCTAAGATTGTGGTGAGAGCTGTCTGCAAACCAAAATTGTAGACAACAATTCACGTCAGTGTTTACGACCCGATTCAAGGTCATGAGAAAAATTATTAACAAAGCTTAGCCTTGAGGGACTCAACAACCAGCTACAACAGACTTAAGGTGTGCAAATATGATTTGCAGATATATGGCTTAACTATCTAAGAAACGGTCATAAGCAGTACAGAATAATCTTCAGCAAGAAGACAAGCAATGAGAAGACGTTGTTTCTCTGCTAACAATAACACTAATAATAATGTACATAAAAATCTATAAATATCTCTTGATTTTCTCAATAAACGATCTGTTGCCTGTCCCTTGTCTTCTGTCGTTAGAAGATGACGAACTGGTAGAAGTTACAACTCACGGGTTTACCATTGAGCAATTGGGTCACAGTGGCTGAATGAATGGTCTACTAGCTTGGTTGTGCACTGAAATTAGAGATTAAACAGGAACAAAGAAAAATATTAAGGATTGATTCAGCAGACAGTATTCCAACGTTAGAAGGAAAGCGGATCATTATTCCATAGTCAACTGAAACATCCAAATAAGTATAAATATTGTGATTAGATCATTTAAGTGGGACTTTCCAAACAATTATTCCGTTAAAAGGCTATCGACTACAACTCTCGTGAAATTTCAGATCTGAAAGCCTGAAGTTCTTTCTATGTACTCTTTGGAAGGCAAAGAAGTGACAAAAGATGTCATTACTTGTTAATTCAAATCCTTTTCTGATGGTAATGAATGTTTTTATTATAAATTATATTACTACTCCCTTGGGTTTCGAGTGGAACATAAGGCTTCACCAACATATCTTCACTCTGTTCTATTTTCATCTGTCCTCCTCAGCTTCCCAGCTCCCCAACTGAGCATAATCTCTCATCTCCTCCTCCACAAATGATCTCCTTCATGTCATCATTGCACCAACGAAACAGTCGTCGCTTCTCATTCGGATTCGACACAAGCAATGGCCTGCATTGCATGCAATGTCATTCGACGGTTTCCTCAGGGTATGCCACACCAATCTCCATTTTCTGCTACATATTTCTTAATCTGTCGGCTCTTGATTAGTTTGTTTCTACGGTTTATTGTTACTTATTCTTTCTGGTCATTTAATCTTTACTATGGAGTCAGCGAAGTGGACAGCTGTTGATGAAAGCCTGCAACCTGTTGGAAATCCTTTTCGTTCCACGCTGGCCAAGTTTCTGACCCGTATAGAAGCACCGATTTCACAGTGGTGTTGAAAATCAGAATCTTCTTGTTAATGTTGAGTGCAGAATATCTCTGAACTGGCTTCAGGTTGATGAAGGCGTATCTCGCCTTGCGGGTTCTGCCTGGCTTTGACACGTTCATTCGTTCCGCCTGTCGTTGAAACGGTACTTCTCTCCTGTTGATGTTGATTGGTGCTGGTTTTTGTTGTTACAGTTCGTTGGTTATCTTCATCACCTGCGTCTTCTCCGTGTTCACTTGGAGTTCTGCCTTCGTGCCAGCCTCTTCTGCTATTTTGTTAGTTTTCGCCTGTAAATAAGTCTCCAAGTTTGTGTGACATTAGACATATATCATCTGAAAAATCCAGACACAATATATTTTTCTTAGCTCACTCTTTACACGTATAAATATCTCATGAATACTGTTAAGTAGCATTCTCAAGTTAGTTAGTTAGTTAGTTTTTCTCTCGTGATAGTTACGTGTTCACTTATCATTCAAAAATAGTTTGTTTACTTTTCCCCTATAGGTAAACAAATCATGTTCACATTTCACCTTTTTTTCTCTCTTTTTCTTATTGCATTTATCCACTTTTAGGTTGTCAATGGTTATTGGGTATTTGGAACAGTTATCTGTGATATATTCATTATGTTCGATGTATTATTTTGTACAGCATCAATTCTCAATTTAGTGGCTATCTGTCTAGATAGGTAAGTCGTTCGTGACAATATAAATCTATAAAATAAATATCACATTATTATGAGTATGATTACTATTGCTGTTATTACTTGATTACTGTGCTATATGTCTTTTTAACAATGGGCGAAATATCTTTTTGCATATGTATTAATTTGAGCTATATTTTTAGGGATTCGGATTAATTTCACTTTGGATTTCGTTAGAAACTAGCGCCTGATATAGTAATCAATGTCTAGTACTGAAATAAACCAATCAGAATTGGCCTACATAAGTGATCGATATCCAGTCTGGAAATAAACCAATCAGAATTGGCCTACGTAGAATAATGCCCACTATTTTATTGGTCAGGATCATAGACTAATTAAAATAAGTATAAAACATGTTCAGTTAATATTACTGTACAACACTATGCGGTTTATCAAAATAAAATCTTATCCATAATGGAAAGAGACTAATGAATAATATGATTCTGCACAGAATATACCGTTGCTTTCCGTCTCGTCATAGGTGTACTCTAGCTTAAGTAGTAAAGGTTGAGAGATTGGTTAGCCTTCGACAGAGAGTGTTGACCGAGATGTAACTTGGAAATTGCTTCAACACTAGGCGTGCAGTGCCCAAGTTTCTATCAACCTCATTCAACAGCTGTCTGTATGACAATGCCATCACGTGTCAGATGGTCCACAAAGGAAAACGCAGTGAGGCGTTCGAAGTGAATATAGCGGTAAGACAAGGTCACTGCCTACTATCATCAACGATAATATTCGCAATTCTGTTCATGGGGGTGAGAAGACAAGAATACATTGCATTAACCGATAAGAAAACTCCAGAAGATCTTGATTTCGCATGTCGATGATTTATGTTGAATGTCACACAATCAACTTGAAGACTTACAGGTGAAAACCAACAAACTGGTTGAAGAAGCAGGTGGTGAAGACAGGACACCAGTTGAACATAGAGAATGTGAACATGGAGGTGATGAAGATAACCAGTTCACAGAAACAGTAACAACAACCATCTCTAATCACCATCCATAGGAGAGATTTGAAAGTGGTTACTTCCTTCTCTTATCTCCCCAGGAAACACGGTTTCAACTACAGGCATGAGTACAGCACGGATGAAGATGTCAAAGTCAGCCCGAGATGATTGGGAAGGCTAGATACGAATTCATCAACCTGAAACCATTATGCAAATCTTCTGCACTCTGCCTCAGCATAAGCAACAACATTCGGAATCTATTCAACCAAATGTTGGGTCAATCAGTCACTTCTTCTGCATGGGTGAGAAACTTGCACTGAGCGTGTGTTACGAAAGGCATTTCCAACAGGCAAGTGCAGACTTTTATCAACAGTTACCTCTCTTCTTGCGCCATAATGAAGATCGAATGGCCTTTAGGTTGGCCAGGAATAATTAGTAACAAGAAACTCTGCCTGGTGGCAAACCAATGGAGAGCCGATTTCTCAACAAATATGTAGGAGAAAACGGAGATGGAGGCTGTCAAATGACATAGCATTCCATGCGGGCCATCGCTCGAGTGGGATCAAAACAGGAAGCGACAAGTGGGTCGTTGGCTGGAGGGTAACATCCAGGAGATCGTGTGTCAAAGAGGAGGAGATGAGAGATTATGGGCACTCTTGGAGCTAGACAGATGAAGAGGATGGTATAAATTATAAAAAAGAGGAAGTGTATTTTTGAAGCCGCATGTTCCAATCGGAACTTAAGTGAGTAATAATAAAATCCGCAGTACTCCTTTTCTGGCCCCACATTTGCCCATACGCAATGGCCCGGCGTGCTATATCACCCAAAGGTCTCTTCAGCATGTGTCAGATCCGTCTTCCTTTCCCATTATATATTCCCTGGACATTGGATTCTTGCTCGGTTCGTTGTCAGCGTTTCCTGTTTTTTATCTTTTCTGGTTGGCTCTCTCATATTCAGGATGCAGAGAAATGGACTTCTATTGATGAAAGTCTGAAAATAAAAGAGTCTGACCAACTTTGTTATCAGGAAATAGTTGTAACAGTGTAACTGTATATCATTCAGGAACTAGTTGTCTCTCATTGTGATTTTATTCAGACTGTTTTCTATTCTGAGTTTCACTCAGTCAATCTCTCTCTTTACTTCACACACTCACACACACCAGTAAAGGTACTTGAATAATTTCGAAGTTGATATATACAGACCTAATTTCCTACATGTCATTTTACATGTATGTTTGTACTTCAATGACCCCACTTATTGATTTATGACTTGGCTTTCTCTCACACTACTTATCATCTTTGTAGTCCTATTGGATGTTCACTATCTCAATTCATTAATGAGATTAGTACCTCTCAAGGTCATTTTAAATATATATATATATATACATCACGACATGATTCCCAATAGTGACCTCTAGGCTACTACTCAGTGCTATACTCTGAATGATCCAATTTTACAACCACATTAGGCAGGCTCTCAACAGCACAGTATGATATCGATAGTGCAGTTAGCATTACAAACAAAATAAAAATATAATAAGATAACATTTATAATTATCCGGTGTCATCCGGGGAGATAATAATTTTAGGTCAGGAATAAAGAATAAGGGAGGAAGAGAGATATAAAAAACCTATTCTGAACACAGAGGCTATTGTTGCAACGAAGCTTAGCAGTCAAAGACGTGCCAGTCTAGGGAATTGAGGTGGCACCTTGTATAGAATTGTAAAAGTTTTATTTTTGTGAATCCTTTGTACTGCGTATCCTTACAAGATGCACCAATATGGAGAGTTTAATTGGCTGTACGACTCCCTTACCTAACTAACCATTTTTGACAGTGCTCAAGAAGGCGACGGTGAACTTTCTAAGTTATGTTTTCCCTACGTAAATGTCTCCAAATGAAGGGTTAAGTTTATAAATGCAAATTGATGAGGCTATCAGACCCGGTAGCTTATGCTTCACATCTGCGCATTGGAATTCTACAATGAGTGTAGAATTTTAAACACACTGTTGAGGCAGAGAAGGATTTAGCTATTACACTACCGAACTTTTGATGCCAGCCAGTAATTTATTTGCTGCATCTACTTTAAACAGTAAAGCCATACATATATTTGTATACGTTTCTTTCGTACCGTTTGACGGCATTTTTCTCTCTATCTGTTCTTCCTTCAGAGACTTTAAAAAATGTTTCAGATTATCCGTCCTAATGTAATAAGTTTACATATTTCATTATGTAATTGTTGAAAGCTTGGTGAGAATTTACTGAAAATGTTTATTTACTTGCTTAAATCGTTTTCTGTAATCCTTTTGTTTGTTTTGTTTTTTTCACCAAAATCCCTATTTTCCTCTATTTTTCTTACATAAATTCAGACAGTGAGTAGCCTTCATCTAAGCATAAGTTGTATAGCATATGAAGTTCATTCTATACCACAGTTCAGTTTGTTTATGAAAGTTCATCTTATTCAAATGAAATTTAGATTTGCATTTCAACTAAGATTTAGGGATGAAATTGAGTTCTTATCAGATCATATAAATATATTTATAATGGGATAGATAACTCACAATGATATGCCAATTTGAAATGAACTCATTTTTTCTATGTTTCACTTGGAAAGCGAAGAAATAAATCTATCTACCACCCACCATTGGTAAATCGTCATCTTCTGGAGTGACGTCCCCCATCTGCCCAATCGAATGATGAATTACAGAGTCGATATTCCAAAATTTTCCAATGTGATTATTTGTTTCAGTTAGAGAACCACTGGAAGACCAATGAAGGAGTACTGGACAGCTAGCTGTTTCGTCCCGCCAGTTTGGGACTCACTAGCAGTACTCATCCACCACCACAGGAGTTAGAACCCAAGATCTTTGGGTTACAAGTCAAGTTCGCAGACCGTTCAGACACCGGGATCCATCTCAATGATCCATGAATTAATCTGATACTGTCTATTTACTTGCTGTAGGATTAAGTTCATTAGAGTTCTAGTGAAAAGTTGTGACCAATAAGTGGAGTTCATCCAGTTGGTCAGGAATAAGGATGAATACACGAGTCAATGATGATATAAGCTGGAGCCAGTCACTGAAAAATAACACCAATTAGTAGAAGTTAGAATTCAGGGGTTGGCCACTGAATCCGGTCTCAGAGGCTAATGAATGGTCATCTCTCCCTTTTACTGTCTGTGTGTCTTATTTGTCTGAAATTCTTTTTTTATTTTCGGTTACAGCTTGATTCCACACCATACATTTTTGGCACAGGTATGGAATTTTCAGGATGTGATATCGGTAGCTCAAATTTTGCAGGCCGACCATAGGTATCAGGTGTGCGTCGGCAGGGGATCGAACCCCGGACCATGTGCATGATCGGCCTGAGTCCTAACCACTGTGCCATCGAGGCAGGTATTCACTCGAAGAAAGGATTATGACCAAATAGGTTGCAGTCGAAACGCCAACAGAAACCAAACAATATACGAGAAATATTCGTGACATTTTAAGCGAAATCCAGTGCCTCATATTTTATTCATGTGACATTCTAAATTACCTGACAGTATGAAGGAAAATTGATCACCAAGATTGTTATCATTATGCAAGCATTGATTAATTTGAGGGAATATCAATCCATCTAGATGCTAGTTATTAGATTTGTGTTGTCTATAGGCTTTCATCTCCACCTCATAAAACGATCTTCTTCATGTCACTCTGGAAGTAACACCCGACTTGTCCTTTGCCATTCGGGTTCCACTTGAGAGATGGTATGGCGCCAAGTGTTACCCAACGGTCTCTTCAATGTGTATTCAATCCACCTCCATTTCTGTCGACATATGTGTTGCGCAATGGGTTCTGCAATGATTTGTTCCAAGAGTTTCTCGTTGAGAATTCTTTCTCCCGGGACATCTGATCTTCAAAATGGGGACATCTGTTAATGCAAGTTTGCAGTAGCCTGTTAGAAATGCTTTTCGTGAGGCACCAGTCCAGTTTCTGATCCTTATAGAAGTGATTGACTTTATGTTGCTGCAGAATATTCGGATTCGTTGTTTAGGTTGAGTGAAGACAATTTGCAAACTGATTTTCGACTAAAGAAGATTTGTCTTGAAATTCCGATCCTCCCTTTAGCACCCTTATCTGTGTCGCCTGCGTGTAGTTGAAATGATGTTGATTAGTTGGGTGAGAAAACTGACTTCCCCTCCTTCAAATTTCTGTCATTAAAGGTGATTAGTTGGCCACTGGGTGTCTTCATCATCTATGTTTCTTCTCACAATCAGTGGTTTTCCACCTATCGATCTTCGATTTTCTGTACCATTAAATCATTCATGGAGTCCAGATCTTCTAGCGTCTTCTTGAAGAACAAACGTACTCCTATCTTATCGCCTGTCCCCCTCCACAAACGATATGTTGCGTGATCCATTTCATGGTAATCAGGAAGGGAGATAATTAGTGAATAAAGGAATGTTTAAATGTTTTTTATTATAAGATTTCAGAACAGACGATGCCACATTTTATGATTCTGCTTCCATTCATAGTTAAAAGAAAACTGAAACCAAATATCTCATTATTTTATCTAGAATGTCTATCTGTCAATAAAATATCCCTCCAGTTACAAGTCAAGCTCGCAGATCATTCATATACTTTAACCGAACTCTCTGATCCATGACTTAATCTGATGCTCTTTAGCTACTGGCTCTAGGATGAAGTTCACTAGAGTTCTAGTGAGAAGTTGTGACCAATGAGTGGGACACATTCATTTGGTCAGGAGTGAGATCAAATACTTGCGTCAAAGGTGATGTTAGTTGGCGCCAGTCATGTTAGAAAATAAATCACGAATTGTTAGTGGTTAAGGTTCAAGGGTAGACCATTCAGCCAGATCCCAGTGGCTGGCTGGTCTACGAGCTCTCCTCGTAACCACAATATCCTCAATTCGAACACCTGTGGCTGCATACTGCGGAAGAGTCCGAAAATATGACGACACAACTGTCCAGTACTCCCTAATAGGTTTCCAATGGTTCTCTGACTGATATCAGCTCACCGTCAATTCTGTAGAATTAAAAGTGACGCATTTTATATTTTTGATTCCATTCATATTTAAAAGAAAATTGAAACCAAATATCGCATTATTATTTCAGACAGAATGTTCATCTGTCAATAGAGTTTTGTATTATTCAGGCTTGATTTAGTCTAATGGATAGAGGTGGAGTCATCTACAAGTTCATTCATACTTATGTTATGTTGTTCATTCCCTTTAGCAAAAGGTGTGATTGACACAGTTCGCATTCAAAGTCTTTATTGATCATTAATTATTGTTAGCAAGAGAAATAATAGTAAGTTAATTAGGAGTTTACTGTGAATATCACCTTCATTCTCCTTTCAATGAAATTTCATGTGTAAACGTGAGAGCCTAAGTTTATCACTTCTGTCTACTGGCAAACATTCAGTTAGTAACTAATTACCTTTATTTATTTTAAGAATATTATGCCTAACATTGAAATGTAATTCTAGAATACTCTCCACGGATGACATTGACTGGTTCTATTGCATTAAAATGACGAATTCGTTGACATCAGGACTGACGGGCGGGCCATTGTGTTGGGTCAAATTGGCTAAGTGGTCAACGAGATCCTCTTGTAACCGAAGGGTTTTGGATAATAACTCCAGTGGTGGGTCCACTCCGATGAATAAGCCAAAACTAGGACGAAACTGCTGTCTCTGAACCTAGGAGTACTAGACAGCTGTTTCCTCCTAGTTTGACAATAATCGATAGCACGCACGCACTGAGTCAGGTTCCACCGGTTAGTGAGCAGTCTACAAGCTCACCTTGTAACCGGAAGGTCCTGAGTTCAAACCCCTGTGGTGGGTGCGGACTACCGATGAGTCTCAAACTAGACGAAACAATTGTCTAAAACTCCCTAGTGGCTTCTCAGCGACTCTCTAACTGATATCAGTCTGTCGTCAAATCCCAACAAACCAACCCTTGAAGTTAGAGAATAAATAGAGAATAGGTTTGCACATTTTATGATTTTTTTCGTTCACTTTATACGTGGAATCTCTTTTTTATGCCTGGGAAGAACATGTGTTTGTGAGTATGAAGAAGGAGGACGGAGACGGAAAAGTGTGCTTATCTATTCATGAAAACATGAAGAAAAAACTATCTTTTCTAAACAAACTCTTTTTTCCCTAAAGATAACTCCTACTATGGTGAGTTCTACTTAAAATCAGATATAAGTAGTATATCTATAAACGAGTTCAGAAAAGCAACAATGTGTTTCCGACACTGGAAAAAGCAATCGAAGGACAGAACTGTGAAAAGAACGTTAGAAACACTGTGCGGCACTCAACAAGCTATCGAATGTGGCGATATTTGACCAATTTGCAAGTAACGAGAGATGATACAGGTCTTCTAGTTGTCACGCGCGGCATTACCAACCAATGCAAGCATTTCAGCAGCCAGGTACTCCATGACAGCTGCCAAGTAGCCGGGGATTCCGTCACTGAAGCGTTTGACGTTGATACCCTTGCGCAACAAACGATGCACAAGACCAAGTGGGAACTGAAGACCAGCACGAGCAGACGGAATCTTTACCTTTACGCGAGTCTTTCCACATTTACCTCAACCAGTCATGGATGTACGGTAAAGCAAAGAAACGTTTACCATTTGTAAACATAAAAAACTGATTGTATCTACATAAATTTGGCATACCATATGCACAATGCTTTATTTGCACATCTTTTGCAAACTGGTCGAATATCCACACACTTGATAGCTTGTCAAGGTCTGAACAGTGTTTCTAACGTTCTTTTCATAGTTCTGTTCCTCTATTGGTTTTTCCAGTGTCGGACACATATTGTTGCTTTTCTGAACTCGCCTACTGATATACTACTTATATCGGATTATAAGTAGCACTCACCATACTGCAACTCAACTATTGTTATCATTACAACTGATGTAGATTTCTCATGTTTTCATCAATCCTGTGTTTTTCTCCCTGAAATCTCTATTTTCATCTCCTTTGACTTTCGTAGACAAAACAGTGCTCTTCATCTTATCATTAGGCTTGTGATGATTAAAGTTCATTATAGACATCAGGTTTACTTATGTGCCTGTCTGTTTATTGGTGTGTGTGTGTGTGTGTGGAAGGATCAGTTCATATTGTTTAAATGAAATTCAGATTTAAAGTTTCAACTGTTATTTAAGGGATGAAACTTGGTTGCCTTATCAGATCATGATATTTGTGTATTGTGGGAGTAGATAATTTGAAATGATATACCAGTTTCAAAATGAACTTATTTTTCTGGGAAAATAAAAAATATATATACTTTTAAGTATTGGTTTTTGTAGCGATTTTGTTCGAGTGGTTAGAGGACTTCATCAGGCAATGACCTGAGGTTCTTGTGAGAAGCCATGACCAGTAGGGTACAGCAGGTTGAAGGTGAGGCAGTTACTCATCGAAGAACACGTTACGAAGTGGTCACGTTGTGTCTTGGAGGAATTAGAAGAAGTTAGAATTCATGAGGTGGCCATTGAGGAGTCAGGTTTCAATGGCTGATGAATGGTCTACGAGCTAGCTCGCCTTGTAATCAGAAGACCCTAGGGTCGAACTCCTGTGGTGGGTGCGTGCTGATGAAGGGCTTCAAACTAGGCTGACGAAACAGCTGTTCAGTACGCCGTGGGCGTTTTCCAATGGTTCTCCGAATCATGTCAGCTCATGATGAAATCCTTCAATATTGTTTACTTTTATTTTAATCTATGACATTGTGTATGTTTATGTGTATGTAATGTATGGATATGTTTGTTGATAATTTTAATCCTTGTGAAATGAGTTTTTGAAAGTAATAAAGAAATATAATAATAATTCCAGAAACAGTACTAATGGTACAGTGTGGAATTTTCAGCACGTATCTACAATATTTGCATCTAATTTTATCAAACATTTAAAACGAGTATTTCAAAAAAAATGAGTCTAAAGACAACAACGGCAAAAAAACAGGAAAAACACAAAATAATTTTAAAAAATGCGAAAAAATACCAAGAAGTAGGAAGGAAAATAAACAACATAATAAATAATATCTAAGTATTGGGTAGTGGAAGCTATGATATGATTATGCATGGTGACAGTAAAGCTATAGTCATACAAGAAGTTATGAACTGATATTTAAGAATGTTTATCGACAAGATGATCAGTTAAATTAGGTTGAAACAAACACGAAACAATCATAAAATAACATTTCAGGGTTGTTGTTTTGCTTTTTATTGTCAGGTCTAATACAGTGTTTGTAGTGGTAGTGTGAGTAATCCTGCATAATACAAAATTTTAAGATGATGGTAATGGCGTTCGCAACCAAGATTGTCAGTTAATAATGCCGAACAAAACAAAACAACAACAACCACAAAATCTAATAATTACATGATGGTTAATGACAGGAAAATTTTGTAATACTCATATTGCTAATATAGTCAGAACCAGTAGATACACAAAAGAAGGAATACAGTAAAGAGTGGAAAGTAAACCAATGTTAATAATTTAGGTAGCTAAGTATGTTTAAGAAGGAGTTCACTATAAAACATCTTTATAGTTCAAAGAGGAGGCTCTTTTCGGTGAATTCACTTTCCTGTTTATGTGCACGTAGTTGCATATATATACAATCTGCTTTTCACGAAAGAGGGAGGCAACAGAAGTAATGAGTTTTCGCAGTCATAGTAGTTAATATTAGTCAATGGGTGCATGACTGGAGATGGATAAGTGTATGTGAGTTACGTAATAAGATCAATAAAGAACATTCTTCGCAGAAACGCCAAGAGTAGTGTTCTTCAATGGTCCATCGGTCTGTGGAAGCATTTAGGACAAGATCTTGTATGTAACAACTTCTATGTGTATATATATGAGTTCTTCTGTTCCTACAGATCCACGTACATTAATCATCCGACGCAAATCCTGTCTGAAAGTATCCAAGATCACAATCACATATGGTTACAGAAAGTTAGTAGTGGCTCTACAAGGAATGCGATAATTAAACACCTTGTTATCAATAACCATTCCGTCCAAACAAACACCTCCCTCAAGGTTACCTTCAAAGTGAAGAACGGTCTACCAAAGGAAATAAAATTTCATGATCCTCTTTGTATTCTTGAAGGTTCAAACATTCAGATATAGAAACCAGAAGTATACATGCAAAAGAAAGTTATTCAACCACTTCAACTATCATGATTGCAACCTCGTTAATTTCTACCGACTTGATTTTTGTTTGTTTATGTGTATAACCTCTCATAACTGGTGTATTTTTTTAGAACTGCTTAGTAATTCTACATTTTCACTTGCCACTATGACCATTCTGATAACAACGTATTCGTCATTAAGTCTTTCGTCTTATTACGTAACCCTAGCACAATTACTCAACTCCTGTCATGCACTAATTGACTAATATTAACAATCATGACAGGTTGGAGGACTTCATCATGAGCTGATAACAGTGAGAAAACCATTGGAAAACCACTTACAGGGACTTCTGGACCACTGTTTCGTCCTAGTTTGGGC